AAAAAAAAATATGTAAAATTTTTATTATTTAATAAATTAAAAATAAATTACAAAGTTTTATTTTAAAATTTATTTAGTGAAGCATGGGTGTCTATTGCACCTTTCGACGTAGTTCATAAATTGTTAGCCGAAATTAAAAAAACTTTAATTTATGCAAAAAGTCGACGTTACAAGGTACGTTGATTTTTGCGACAAAATGGAGTTTTCCGCCCAAATAATATTCCATTACCTAATGCAACGCATTGGAACTCTTGGTTTAAAATGGCCTTTTATGTAGAAAAACACTTACAATTTATTCAGGATTTTTATACTCAAGAACATAGAGAAAACACCTCCCCCGCAATAGAAAAAATCATAGCGATTCTTAATGATCAACAAGAATATGGACGTGTATGGATAAATTTGGCATTTATTAAAAATTATAGACAACAATTCGTACGAGATCTGGATTTTTTTTAAACTGAAAATATTCTGGTATTTCTGTTTATTGAGGGTCGAATTGAGCAATTGGAAAGTGCGATTAATATAGAAAAATCATTAACAACTTGAGTTCAACCTGTACTTGAAGTATTTTCTGAACTTAATACGGAACCTGATTTATTCTTTCCTTTATTTCATTTCGCGTATCAAGCTGCCAATAATAAAATTTCCGAACATATTAGTAATCATCCCGCACGTCTTTTATTTCAAGAAGCCTGTATTTTTGACCCTCAATTTATTTTGCTTTCCACTATTAGTCATAATATTGTATCATATTCTTATATCCGAGAATTAGCAAATCCTTCAGTTAATTTAGTTCAAGAATGGGCGATTTATTGTAATTTCAATCTTGCTATGGTCAAATTTCATACTTTGGATGAGTTTTGGAATAAGGTTTCTTATCAATTACCTTTGTTAAGTGAAATTGTCTTCGATTATATTTGGCTTCCTATTTCGTCTTGTAGTGTAGAGCAAAGTTTTTCTGCATATAACAAAATTTTGGATAATGATAGACAAAATCTTAGCAAAGAATCGCTCCATGCTCTTACTACTATGTATTACAATCAATAATTGTCATGTTGTAACTAATAAAAAATAAAGAAAAAAAATTTTTTTGAGGTTCTGATCACATTACACCCAATTTTGCATTCTGATTAGATTGTTAGGGCAAAGCGATATAAATTGATATTTTTGACCAAATCGATAGATATTTTTGCCAAAACAAATTGATATTTTCTCTAGTTCCTGGTCTAAAGTGGAGCAATTTCACGTGATCAGAGCCAATCAAATTATAGAATTTTGATGATCGTTGGCAAAGCAAAGCAAGAAACAAAAATGAAAAACCCAAAAAATAGAAAAAAACGGCAGTCTAAACCTACCTCAGGTAAGTTAAGTAAAAATGTCGAGAAGACAATTTTGCTTATAATAACAATCTAAAATCTAACCTAACCTTAATATAAGATGACCCTAACCCTAAAGTTAAAAGAAAGCTTAACCTGTTCTAGGGGTATACGTAGTTTATCCTATTTCTGGGGGTATAGATAATTTATTCTGACCCTCCTAATTTTTTGTTTTGTTTTGATAATTGTTTGATAATGATCAAAAAAAAAATTTTTTTTTTTTAGCTTTTGTCGTCATTTTTTGGTGCTTTTCGTCATCGTTTTTTGGTGCTTTTTGTCGTCGTCATTTGTTGGTGCTTTTCGGCATCGTTTGTTGGTGCCTTTCGTCGTCATTTGTTGGTGCCTTTTGCTATCGTTTGTTGGTGCCTTTTGTCATCGTTTGTTGGTGCCTTTCATCATCGTTTGTTGGTGCTTTTCATCGTCATTTGTTGGTACTTTTCGTCGTCATTTGTTGGTGCTTTTCGTCATCGTTTGTTGGTACTTTTCATCATCGTTTGTTGGTGCTTTTCGTCATCATTTGTTGGTGCTTTTCATCATCATTTGTTGGTGCTTTTCGTCATCATTTGTTAGTGCTTTTCGTCATCGTTTGGTGGTGCTTTTGATCGTCGTTTGGTAGTATTTTTTGTTGTCATTTGTTAGTGCTTTTGGTCGTCGCTTGTTGGTGAATTTGGTTGTTGTTTGGTGGTGCTTTTGGTCATTGTTTGGTGATGCTTTGGTTGTTAATTGCTGGTGCTTTTCGTCATCGTTTGTTGGTACTTTTCATCATCGTTTGTTGGTGCTTTTCGTCATCATTTGTTGGTGCTTTTCATCATCATTTGTTGGTGCTTTTCGTCATCATTTGTTAGTGCTTTTCGTCATCGTTTGGTGGTGCTTTTGATCGTCGTTTGGTAGTATTTTTTGTTGTCATTTGTTAGTGCTTTTGGTCGTCGCTTGTTGGTGAATTTGGTTGTTGTTTGGTGGTGCTTTTGGTCATTGTTTGGTGATGCTTTGGTTGTTAATTGCTGGTGCTTTTGGTAGTGGTTTGGTGATACTTTCATCTCTACTTGGTGTTTTTTT